GGAGGCTTGGCTCCCACGAGGCCTCATGGGAGTCGGCACGCGCACACCCCGGCTCCATCTCCACTCGGGAGGGGCACCCCGGGGGTGTGTGGCCACCCATCCGGGCCTCCCCGGAGCACTGCAGGCAGGGGGCCCTGAGCCAGACCGGCATGGGACTTCCTTTGTGCCGCTTTCCCTTTGACAACACCCCGCCCTGCCTGACCAGTGTCCCCACTCTCAGATATAAACTACTTGCGCTCAAACCCCGGTCTCAGGGCTGACTCTTTAGGGAAAAGACATTTGAAGGCAGTTTTATGCCTAAAAATGTCAAATTCAATGCTAACAGAGACCAGGCAGGAAATAAAATGTAATAAACAGGAAAAGGACACGATCCCCATTCTTGTGGTGTTTGTGTCGTCTCCAGCCCTGCTCGCGGCGGAGACAGAAGTGCAGATCTCAGCGAGATTCTTGACCATGAAAGATAAATTTAGTTATGATGAGGAAGTCTAGAAGTGGTGGTGTGTTTTTTGAAGGCAGGGATGTGAACTAAGATGTGGCACAGATGCTACGAAAAGGCTTCCAACCAAAAAGTCACCTGGGCAATTTGTATCCATTGCTGTGACCTTGAGCTTTCCATGCTGCACCTGCGTGGATTTCAGCACAACCTAAATAGGAAAGCGTGAGCTCTCCTGGCTGGTGAAAACTCAGGTGAAGATGCTTGACCCTGGTTTAGAGTTGCTTGTTGATTTTGATTTTTAGAGACACACTGGGGTGGGGAGGAGGGATTAGGGTCACAATGAGGAGGGTGGGAATTGTATGGGGACTATAACCAAGATGAAAATGCACACATTGTGCAAAAATGAAAAATGATGTAAAGAATATATAAAATATTTTGCTGAGCAGGATCCCTTCCAGCTCCATCCATGTTGCTGCAAATTGCATGTGTTTATCTTTTTTGAGTGCTGAGTAATATTCCACGGTGTATATGGACCACGTCTTCAAGAAAAAGAAAAATATGGGATGGTCTCACTCATAACAGGAATCTAGAAAAGGGTCCTCTAAATATGGACCAGGAAAAAGAATAACTATAAGAAAGAAAAAAGTCAAAATCAGCAAACAACTATGAATCAAACACACTTTTTTTGGGGGGGGTGTGAGGAGGGATTGGGGTCAAAATCGGGGTTGCAATTGCATGGGGAATATAAAAAAAAAAAGAAGCAAACTAACAAAAAAGGAAAAACAACACTGATGCCTTAAATAAATAACTCCAATAAAAAAAAGAATATATAAAATAAAATAAAAATAAATAAAATATATGTGAGCTCTGAAAAAAAAAAGAAAAAAACGGATGCTTGAGTCTAGAGAGACACAGAGTGACCCCAACAGCATCACATAGAATCAGTTTTATTGCCAGGTAAGAAATTCATATTAATATAGTGAATACATATGTTTACAAATAAACATTCTTAGAAAACAAACAAATGTTTTTTTTCTTTGTTGTAGGAAGTATTATTGGTATCATAAACTCTGCAGTTGTTGACAAGTATTAACACAGGTTTACTTGCAGAACATACGGTTACTAAAATATTTGCACATAAAATATGCTCCATTTACACAAAAAACTGGGGAGGGGGGAGTTGGATGGGGTGCCAGGCAGAGCCCAAGGCAGATGGAGGCTGAGACGCTCTGGGAGGGCGAGGGGTGTCAGACTCTGGTCCCGTTGGGCTGGAAGTCGGGGGGCAGCTAAGGGGAAGAAGCAGAGGCGAGTGGAGGGCAGGGGATGGGGCAGGGAGTCTCTGTGGCTTCCTTCCTTCCGGTTTCTCTCTTCCAAGTCTCCCACCGATCGCGAGATCCTCCATCTCGGTCCCAGATCCTCCTCCAGCATCAGGAAGTCTGCTCAGCCGCTAGAGGAGCCCCCAGAATCAGCTAGAGGAGCCCCCAGAATCAGCTTCCTTGTCTCCGCGTGTCCCACCCACTCAGGGCCCCAAAGCCTGGGGGCAGGTAAGGAGGCTGCTCCCCCGGCTCCATCCCTCCATCCCCGCTGAGCTGACTGGCCACCCCTCCAGCAACAAAACACAGGCCAGGAAGATTCTCAGGAGGAGCGTGGAGAAGAACTAAGCTGCTCTAGGTTCCGAGAGCAGGACCGTCCTCTGACCAGGTGAGGCTGGAGGGCGTGAGCTGAGGTCTTAGAGCAAAGCGGGCTGACGGGGAGGATAGAGTGACTGAGCTTAGGAGCTGGAGGGAAGCTTGTGCCCAGCCAGCCCCGCACCCCCTGCACTCTGGCCGGGGTGCCCCTGGGGTGTGCGGACCCGGCTTCAGTGGATAGATGTGCACACTGACACGGAGGCCCGTGGGAAAGTATCTCCTTTTCATTTTCCTCAGCCCAACAGATTACTTGAAGGAGAAAGTCCCCATTGGCCACTGGCTTATCTTTAACAACTCTTTGCATCCAGTACTACCTGGAGGGGGTAAGGTTGAGGGAGGGAAGATGGGAGGCAGGGAGGCTGGGATGCTGGGAGGCAGGCAGGCAGGGAGGCAGAGAGGCTGGGAGGTAGGGAGGCTGGGAGGCAGGCAGGCAGGGAGGCAGAGAGGCAGGGAGGTAGGGATGCTGGGAGGCAGGGAGGCTGGGAGGTAGGGAGGCTGGGAGGCTAAGAGGCTGGGAGGCTGGAAGGCTAAGAGGCTGGGAGGCTGGAAGGCTAAGAGGCTGGGAGGCTGGGAGGCTGGAAGGCTAGGAGACAGGGAGGCTGGGAGGCAGGGAGGCTGGGAGGCAGGCGGGCAGGGAGGCTGGGAGGCTGGGATGCTGGAAGGCAGGGAGGCAGGGAGGTAGGGATGCTGGGAGGGAGGGGGGCTGGGAGGTAGGGAGGCTGGGAGGCTGGGAGGTAGGAAGGCAGGGTTGCTGAGAGGCTGGGAAGCAGGGAGGCTGGGAGGCAGGCAGGCTGGGAGGCTGGGAGAAACAGCAGTGGTGGGTATAGGTCCTTCCACAGCTACAGTATCCAGACAGAATCACATGATTTGCTGCTTTGCACTTATTTTTAGATTCACCTTTTATTTATGGGGAGAGATACTGCTTTTCTACTTAGGATGATGGTTGGAAGTTTGCCTTTTAAAGTTAAATTATTTGAAATGAATCCATTCAGGTACAAATAGTGTGGCCAGGATGCAGAGAGGGGCCAGAGTGTAGGTGTGTGGGTGACTGCCTTGAGGAAGCACTGCCCCGAGGGGTGTAGTCCGGAGGGGTGTGCTGGGGTCTGAGCAACGTGGCTGAGAACCTGCTCTAAGTCTCCCGCCCCTGCTCCGCCCAGCGCAAGGCCTTCTGACACGCAGCAAGCCTGCACGGCGGGTTCTGTGCACAGTTCCACTGTCTGAAATGGGCAGAGGCGTTGCTATTTCAGAAAACTTGCTCTACCCCCAACTCCCCATGTTTCAGCTGGGAGACTAAGACCTAGAGAGAGGAAATCCCTGGTCCCTGTCCCCAGGTGGGCTGGAGTGAAAAGAAGAAACACCTGCTCTCGCAGGCTCCGTGATGTCAGAGGAGAGTCGAGGGAGGCAGAACGCAGGCAGGAGACACGCTAAGAAATTCTCTGAGTTTTGTTGCACCAGATCACGCACAGCTCCGGACAGCGGAAGAGACTGGGGGCCTCTCGGAAGTTCCCTGTTCAGCAGCTAGATCTTTAGGAACTGGTTGGAAACTTCTCACCTTGAATGAAAATCTTTTTTCTCTCTACTTCCCTCTTTGGGCTTCCGTGAAACATAGAAAGAGAAGGACATCCTTCGTGTCAGGACCCCCTGCCCAGGGCTATTGGCTTTGAGGCGCAATCTGGAAAATCACCCTAGAGCATTCTGGATGGGGGTGGACTTGTGTGGCAGTCTCTGGAGAAGTGGTTTAGAGGGACTATGGGAATTAGGGGGGGGACCCAGAAAGGCTTGAGAGGTGTGGGGAGCTGGCGAAGGGCTGGACTTGGGGAATTGGGGCTGTGGGGGGCGGAGAAGATCTTCGACTTCAGGTACCCCTGACATTGCAGCAGCCCCCTCAGAGGGTGATAAGGGAGGGCTCACCAACAGAGGGAGGTCGGGGACATCTAATACTACTGCAGAAAGACAGGAGGGCGGGGCTGGAGGACGCAGGTCACACTGGGAAACAAGACTGTCATTGAAGAGTAATACATTGAAGGCACCACCCACGCTTATGACATTGTCAGTCCAAAGCAGTTGGAGTCGGGCAGCAGCGGCGGCAGCAACGGGCTGAAGGGGAGGGGAGCCGGGAGAGCTTCTTCATAGAGGACTTGGTTCTGTGTCTCTTTTTTTGATCTCGGAGGCAAGAGGGAATCACCCAAATTCCAAGGTTCTGGGTCCCTTCTCCTCCTGTCCACTTTCCAAGAGTGAATTGTTAAAATTGTCCCGGATCGCGGTCAATGATTTCCTGTCTCGACGGTTTGGGACAAAAACGAAGTTGCTGTTCTTGTCTGTTTTGTGGTGGGCTTGTGATTTCTTTTGCTTTTTTAAAAAATTAGGCAATACTCTCTGGACCCGCCCCCCACCACAAGAGCCTGTTCTCCCCCTGCCACCCCATTTCCATGGCCGTGGCCTTTAAGGGCATTCTCACAAACATTCCTTTTTCACCCCATTCTGGCGGTGGGTTCAGGGTCTATTTCTTTTTTCTGAGAGTCTGCAGGTGTGTTTTTTGCTTCCAACATGGGAGATATGAAAAGGCCTATAAATAGAATAGTTTAGGGTCCAGTGATGTCTTAGGTGCTTGGCAAAATGTTGTGTCCACCTCACCTCCTCTTGGGATTAAAAAGTGCTTGTAACAGCACAGATTCCCTCTCCACACCTCCTCTCAAGGGCACCCCTCTCTGTCCACCCTCCTCCTCTGTCCCCCAACCCCCCTCACCCAGAAACAGCACATGGCAAGTGGTCTATGTGCTCCGCTGGACAGTTGCTCTTCATGGTGCTGCTTGTCTTCTTCTCGTCATGCATGTCAGTTTCAAGTTAGGAGGAAAAGAAAATTTCAGCCCTACCACTTGGGCAGGTGAGTCAGCCCCCGTGGGCCGGAAGTGGAAAGCGTGTGCCTCAGTTTCCCTTTGCTGTATTGCTGAACGTTCATGCTTCGGTTCGGCTGCCCACCGCCACGTGTCAGGCGTGACCCAGGAAAAGCGTGATTCCACGTCACCCGTAGGTGATGGTGGGGTCAGTGCATGTGGAGGGTGGCCGGGCTGGGGTGGGGAGAGGACAGGGAAGGTGCGGGCCGGGGAATTTTTTGCCTCTCAGTTGAGTGTGGTCTCCAGGATGCTCCCTGCGGCGAGAGCTCAGACAGTCACCTCTGTTTTGCTGTTGGTGATGAAGTATGGCTGTGGGGGCGGGTAGTGCTGGGGGCGAGTTCCCAGGGGGTCGCTGGAGCCCGACTCGGCCGTGCCCAGCTTGCCCTTGTTGCCGTAGGCCTGCCGCCGCAGAGACTGCTCGTTGGGGTCCCAGCCCTTGAAGTTGGCGGTGGCGTTGTAGGCCAGCGGGTGCGGGGGCATCTTGCCGGCGCGGGACTTCTGTCCGTTCTGCTTGGCCGGCCCGTGCTCGGGGCTGAAGGGCCGCGGCTCGTCCTCCACGCGCACGGGGTGCAAGGGCAGGTTGCCCTTGGCGGCCAGCTCGGCCAGGTGCCGGCGCTTGGAGTAGAAGTCGTCGTTGACCTTGTCGGCTGTGGCGGCGGGGAGAGGCGGAGGGGAGAGCAGAGAGAGAAAGAGATGAGAGAGTTAGGGACGGGGAGTCCACCCCAGGCGGCGTCTCAGCCACCCAGCAGCCCACACGGACACGCCACACACGCCACCCGGGACGGACAGAAGGGCGGCCTGCCCCTTGCACAGGACCCAGAGGCCGGGGGCTTTGCTGCCAGGTGAGTCAGCCCCTGTGGGCCAGAGGGGGGAAAGCGTGTACCTCAGTTTCCCCTTTGGTGTATTGCTGAATGGTCACACTGTGGCTGGGTGGCCCATCGCCGCGCGTCAGGCATGACCCAGGAAAAGGGTGAATCCGAGTCACCCGCAGGTTATGGTGACTCAGTTTGTCCACTCTAGATTCCCCCAAATGCCCCCAAGCCACACCCTGAACTCCGCCATCCTGGCTTTCCATAAAACCCAAGTGTTGTTTCTTCACCATTAAACCGACGCCTTCTCGTTAGAGACAACAGTGACCTATTGACAAATGTCCCCCATCGAGTCCCCAGCAGCACTCAAGACCAGGGGGTCACACTTAGTGCATTTACTCCTGAGGTCTCAAAATAAATAGGGTCTCACTGGGGTGGGGGGGCGGAGGGGAGAGGGTGGTTCTTCGTGCCTTTGTTTGCTTTGGTTTTTCTTTTTAGAGATTAAGCAGACCCGCGTTCATATCCTACCTCTGCTACCCCCCAACGGAGTCACCGACTCAATCACTTAACTTTTATGATCACCAGCTTCTGCATAAGGAAAGTAGTTACAATAAAAAAAAAAATATATATCCCGCAGGGTTGTGGGGGGGTGAAATGTTATGATGAGTGTGAAGTGCTTACACATTCGTGGCCGCCACTATCATCGTTACTATTATAATAACAGTTTTATTTATCATGTTATGTTCGATCAAGCATTTCTCTGTGTGCTTATAAATGACTAATAGCATTTTAATGCCGACATAGCATTTCAGTGAGTGGAGCTATGAAAATTAATCAATCTTTCTATTGAGCAACATTCAAGATGTGCCAATATTTTTGCTCCTATAAATAAGGCTAAGACGAGAACCTTCTGGGGTAGCGCTTTCTCTGTGTTGAGAATTTAGAAGACTTCTAAAATATTGCCTGAGTCTCTACATCAGGGGTGGTAAATCTGCTCATGGCCTCATTTTGTAAATAAAATGCTACAGGAATTCAGTCATGCCCATTCACTGATGGATTGGCCGGGGCTACATTTGCCCAGCGATGGCAGAGTTGAGCACTGTGCCAGAGACTGCTGGGCCCACAAAGCCTAAAATGTTTGCTGTCCAGCCTTGAAATGAATTACCTGAAGTGGAGTTACTTTGCAAGAGGTGTAAACATGAGCAAGCTCCTTGACAGACTTTGCTAACGAGGCTGCAAGAGCTGGGTCGGGGTCACTCCGTTTTACCACACGCTGCAGCTTTGATTGACTCCTTCCTTTCCTTTCCTCCTGCTTTCCCTATTTCTCTCCTTCCTTCCATCCTGCCTTCTCTATTTATTTCATAATTTTAATAGACCGCCTATTTTTCTCTTACAATTATTCTAATACCCTCTCCACTTTAAAAATTCATTTCTTAGCCATCAGTCTTTTAACTTACATCTCTCCAGAGACCAGAAATATCTGCTGCTCTCTCGTTCACACTTGCAACATCCCACACTGTTACAGGTGTGGGTTGATGTATATTCATGGAGAGCATCACGATTCCATGTTCCTTTTCTCAACTGATCCTTTTCACAACCCCAAGAGGTAGCAAAGATGGGAATTATAACCTCTGCTGGACAGATTAGGAAACTGTCAAACCCCAGCGCAGGAAATGATTTAACTAGGGTTACCCACAGCGGGTGGTTGAGCCGGGTAGACCCTCAGCCCACAGACATGGCTCAGTGCTTCTGAAGGCCACAGAGGGAAAACTGGTCTCAGGACAAGGTGGGGGGGTGGGGGGGTGCTTCTTCTCTTGCCCCTGTGTCTGTGGCAGACATTGATCACACCGCCCTTTCTCAGGGAGCCCAGTCTCTGCTCAGACACAGCACCCCAGGAAGCCACATGTTAACTTTCCAGGCTCAACACAGCTCAAGTTGGGATTATGTTCCTGTTCATGCAGATAGCTCTGACCAATGCAATCTTTGAAGACAAAGTCTCCCTCTCATTGAGTTCTAGAGCTGCCTGAAGATACAGGATGTCAGCACCACAGGGAACCTTGGAATCTGTCAAGGTGAAAAAAGCAAACATTCCTGAAATTCCACAGATGACTTAAGGTGGTGTGGGGTACACGAGACTTGGTATCAGAACCCCAAGTTCCTAGCCCTTTAGAGGAAAGTTCTAGGTTTCTACTGTGACAATGTTTCAACAGGATGCTCTCATCTCCCTCTTTGACTTCAAAATTCATGTACCCAGTAATCTCAGAATGGGTTCACAGAATCTCCCACTCATGGTGGCCAAGCCTGGAGCCATCAACATTCAGATCTAGAAACACCACGATCTTTCACTCAAGCCAGAAGCCTAGGGCAGCTGTTGGAGTCTCCCTCCTCTTTTCCAGCACCACAGTGAAACCACCACATCCTTCCAGCCACACCTGAGTAATGCTTCTCGGTCCTAGTGCATGTCTCCTCCTTCAGCCAGCAGACTGAACACTGCTCTCCTTCAGCCACCAGACTGGCCTCCATACTTAAGTTCCACCTCTTCCAGTCCATTCTCCACACTGAAGTCAAAGGCAGGTTTCTAAACTGCAAAACTCACCATGTCACCTGTCTAGCAAAAGCCTTCAAACAATTTGTTCTGTCACTTAGTCATTCATCAAACAGGCACAGACCATGGGCTAGGCTCTGGAAATAGAAGAATCAGAAACTAGTCCCTACCCTCATGGGGTGAACCTTCTTCCAGGGAGAGACAGAGAGTGACCGAAGAATCCCATATCCCCACAATTCCATCAAAGTATAAAGAAGTAAGTTCTGTGAAGAGCTATCACCAGTCTTAGGAGCATTTACGAGATCCCTGAGCCCCTCTGAGACAGACCTCAGGAAAGTCACCTCACACTTTCCATCGCTATAGGCAAGTCCTGGAGATAGGGCTGGTTTGGTTTCAAATCACCACAATGAAGCAAATGTTGCCATTAAATGTGTCACATGAATTTCTGTGAATTTCCTTGGTGCCTAACGGGGCCAATGTGACTACTCCAGATTTATTGTGACGCTAAATTATTTGACAGAGGCAGCTCTCCTGCTGCCTGTGACTATGCAGGTGTCTCTCTTTCTCTTTTTTCCCTCCTTTTCCTAATAAACCTGTCCTCAAAGAAATTATTTGAGATCTATAAGCTACATAGCATACTTCTGGAATAATGCGTCAACATATATATTTTTGCCTATGTCCTGGCTTGTGGAAGAAGATTTGGATTCAAGCCAAGAGACACTTACTGAGCTCTCGCTCTGCGCCAGGCAGCCAACTTAGCACAGAGGCAGCATCCCTCCACCCACTGCCCCTCTCCTCTGCCCTCTTCATATCCCTCCACCTGCCGTGTGAGTTGAACACCTACTCTGCCCTGTGAACAGAATTCCAAGGGGGCTTGGTCTGTTCAGGTCGGGGGGCTGGTGAGGCAAGGAGTCCTTGAGTTGCAATCTGAAGACAAAGAGTAACAGAAACAGCCCCCCAGGTGAGGGGATGTGTGATGTATCACAGGAATAGCCATAGCACTTTGCAGTTCCTTCTATCAAGAGGTAAAGTCTACACTCTGGAGGAAGCCGGCACCATGTTGTGAGCACACTGGACACTTGATCCCTGCAGAGAGAGGCCATTGGGGAGAAACTGAGGCCAGTGTGATTCAGCAGTCACTTGAGTGAGCCCACCTGGAACCTGACCCTCCAGGTCTAGGTAGGACCACAACCTGGCCGACAGATTTATTGCAACCTACTAAATTACTCAGCCAACCAGCCAGCCTAGCCGTTTCCACATCCCTGACCATAGAAAAGATCTGCTTATGGTTCTGATCTGCTAGGGTTGGGGGTTTAATTTAAACACTGCTCTTGATAACTAATAACAATGGAAAAGAGAAAATCGCAAAAGAATCAATAGGTGGAGTCTACTTCCCCGCCCTTGAATCTGGTCTAGTCCTGTGACTGGCTTTGTTTGACCTGCAGACTTGCAGCAGTGACCTGGGTGAGTCCTGAGCCTGGACTTTTAGAAGTTCTGATGCTTTTGCTCTCAGGCTCTTCGAACCCTGCCTCAGGAGGCCACTTGCCCATGTTCCTCATGCCTGACAGCCTCCTGATACCCCGATACCCAGTGGACCCATCCCAGACCACACAGCCAGCGGGGGTCTGCCAGCTGACCTAGGGCTGAACAAACCTGTCAAGAACAACTAATCCAGCCTCCCTGAAGTGCTGCCCCGGGGGCCCTGAATCATGAACCCAATAAGTAATCACTATGTTGGTTAAGTGACTAAGCTTTGGGGTGCAGGTCATTTGCAAAAGCCCTGTAGTGGGAGAAGCAGGGGAGCTTTGAGTCAATGAAAGGATATCTGAGCAGCAGAGCGAAGCACTGAGGGGATCGCCTGTGGGTAAGAGGGGAGCCTTCACACCTACGACTTGTCCACTGCCCCTCTCGCGAGGCCCCCAGGTGTCTCCTAGTGAGGAGCCCACACCTGTGTGTTGCCCGGGGCATGAAACTGTCTTTCAACGTGTGAGTTTCAAGATTATTTCAAGAACAAGGCTGCGGTCACTGGCTAGGTGTGCGAACTGTCCCCCTAAGCGAGAAATGCAGTTTGCTTCAAGCTCTCGTTTCGGTGTTTCTGGTTCCCCATGATTTGGACCCGGAGGAGGCCTCACCTGGCTGCTCCTGGCTTTGTGCGACACGGTCCCTACCTGCGTACATGAAAAAGTTCCTTGGGAAGGAAATAACAGATTCGCCGAACAGCCTAGTAAGCCCCATTAATAAATGCATTAACCTCATCAGCCCTGGTACCTCGTGGGCAGATGGCTGACAAGCC